TATTTTTTAAAGTTTTCATCATTATAGCTTACTTGACATAGCTTGTAATAGGTTCTACTATCTAAATCTATATTAGTATTTTGGTAAGATTATAACGATTTTATTGATTTTATAGTGTTTTTTATTGATTTTAACTGATTTAGCAATATTATACTCTATTAAATCCAAATTCATTTTTATTAAATTTTTTGATTCGGTTAAATTAGATCTGATTGCCATAGACGACTAAATTATGCATAGTATTTTTGGCTAAAATTTGTATCACATATGATCTTCCTAGTTTCCTGCCAGTTCTAGAAGGGTTTCAGGAGCTGGCAAATTTCTATAAATCACGAGATGATCAGCCAATCAGATTTCACTATCTTTGATCTTATTGACATAATAGCTAAACCACCGTTATTATTCAATTAAATCATTACATTGATCAATTAATTTGCCTCGCAATGATCCTAATACATCACTCGATATTTTTTATATAATAGTCCTAGAGAATCTTCTCACTATGTAGTCAACTATGGAATTCTCTAACATCTAGCTTTGCATCCTCATTGACGAATGAAAAAATAGAAATATGAAGTATCACATTATTATAAATAAAAAGAAGTATCTCTTTTGGAACGAGATTGCGAAAAATTAAATGATCAAGAAAATATTAATTACTTCACTAGTGAAGCCTGTCATAAAAAATTCTTAGGTTTTATAAAAGCTTTTTATGTAAGTTGCATAGATCCTCTTGGACTGCCTGCTTGTCTTTTATGAAAACCTATCTGGTCAATAATACTTATTATTTTTTTAGACAACTAAAAAATATAAAGAGAAGACTGAAAATAAAAGAAGCCTAGTTGGGAAAGATATTTATGAAGAATTCTCAATAAAATTTTGGTTAAAACCTGGTATGCTTTCAGAAAAAATTTTTCAAGAGATTTTTCATTAATAATAATATATCTATTTTATTTGATAGAACTACAATTCAGACAAGTATGTAATGAAAGCGTTAAGAGATCCCTAAGTAGTATGAGTTCATCATTTTGCTCATCAAATACTAGAACATCAGATATTATAGATTTATTCAAGACCTCTTCTCCAGCGTTAAGACCGATGATACCATCTGTTAAAATACCTATTAACTTCAGACCTGTAACCCTAATTATTCCTTCTTTTTCGCAAAATGCGAATGTGATCAATGTTGCCATCAATTATGATAGAGGATCAGATAAGCAACAGGAATTAGAGTTTTTTTTATTAATATAATACGTTTCTACTTATCAATTATGAAAAAAAAAAGATCACACAGACTAAAAATGACTACTGAAGAGAAATATGATATATCGTTGTACGTATAACATAAAGATATAAAGACATAAAAAAGACATAATAAAACACTCAAGGTGTTTCGCATATTGATGATGTCCCAGAGTTTAGTAATTTTGCTTTTATGAAATTGAAATCATCTTCTTTAAAAGTTGAGAGCTGGTTTATAGAAAATGAACGAACATAGTGAATTCTAAATGAACCTATAGAACCAAAAAGGTCAACCATTTTTCTAGACTTTTTAATTTTATCCTTTGTCACAGCTAAAGAAATACCAGCTGGTAAATATCTCTGAATTTCCATATTTAACTTATGTCATGCTCTCTTCTGCCCTTATTCTATTAATTTATTGAGACGATTGATTACTGCTAAGCCAAATTCGTAATAGCAATAGATGGCATAGGAATCGATCTTGAGATAATTTTCATAGAATCGTTGAGGGCTGATCATGAAGGATTACTTCTGATAAATTGCTATCAATTTCCATCACTTCAGTCGTCATCTCATGTATAAAAGCTAACAATCTTTTTTCTCTACTCATATTTTTCCAACTGAGTTTTTCAAGCTTTTCTCTATTACACTCTTGGCACACTGGACATCATTCTTTGCAGACTGAAAATGTAGGGCAACAACTAAGGTGAAAAGTATGACCACATTGGAACATTGCATGTGAGTTTATAATTTTCCTTTTGCAATCCAAACAAGGTTCAGCTCTCTGGGAAGGTTCAGAGAAAAGATTGGGAGCCACTCTATGACCCAAAC